TTCTCTACTCTATACTTGCTTGTTTTGTCACATAAACTGAAATTAGGTGAACTATTTGAATTTTAGCAACAAGGAAATGGCAGAGCGATTTTTGCATAGAATATTTCAATTGAATCCATGCAAAAGTCTGAACTTTTACTGTAAGTAATTTCATCAGAGACAATGTGTCACGCCCTGTCTCGGGGGACTCTTAAATGTTGAGCCAGGGTGTGGAGTTTCTGTTACATTTTCTATGTTTTCGTTCTAGATCGTTTAGATCTATGTTGGCCAGGGTGGTTCCCAATCAGAGGCAGCTGTAGCTCGTTGTCTCTGATTGGGGACCATACTTAGGTAGCCTGTTTTCACTAGTTTGTTCTGTAGGGTTTTGTGTATAACCTAGGACTTCACGTATCGTTTGGTTTATTGTTTTGGTTCGTGTGTGTACACAAATAAAGAATGTACGCTTATCACGCTGCGCCTTGGTCCGCTTCATCTGTCAACGATCGTGACAGAAGATCCCACCACCAGATGACCAAGCAGCGTGCCCAGCAGGAGAAGTTGGCGATGTCCCAGGTGGGCGAATGGTGGTCATGGGAGGACATATTCGCGGGCAGAGGGCTATGGGCTAAAGTAAATGCCCAGGCAGGAGAGGAGAAACGGCGCCAACCGTGCCGACGACGGACACGCGAGAGGCAACCCCAAGTAATTTTTTTTGGGGGGGGGCACACGGCGTGGACGACGGGGCTGCTGGAGGCAGCTACAGGACGAATCGGCGGACTAGGAGAGGAGGCCACCAGGTTTGGGGGGCTGGAGGGGTGGTTGGCGGAGCCTAGAGGTAGAGCAGAGCCAACTCCCCGTACTCAGGCTAGGCAGCGTGAGACTGGGCAGGTTCCGTGTTATGCGGAGCCACGTACTGTGCCGCGAGTGTTCCGGCACAGTCCTGTACGTCCTGTGCTAGCACCACGCACGTGTCGTGCTAAGGTGGGCATGCAGCCAGGACGGAGTGTGCCGGCTCAACGCTTGTGGCCTCCAGTACCCCTCCTCGGTCCCGGATATCCTGCGCCAGTGCCACGTGCTGTAGTGCCAGTACGAGTGCACAGCCCTGTACGTCCTATGCTGATGCCTCACACAGATTGTGTGGAAATAGGCATTCAGCCAGGACGGGTTGTGTCAGCTCTCGGCTCCAGACCTCCAGTCCGTCTCCACAGTCCAGCCCGGCCTGTTCCTGTACCTCGCACCAAGCCTGTAGTGCGCGTCGCCAGCCCGGTCCGGCCTGTTCCTGTCCCTCGCACCAAGCCTGTGGTGCGCGTCGCCAGCCCGGTCCGGCCTGTTCCTGTCCCTCGCACCAAGCCTGTGGTGCGCATCGCCAGCCCCGTCCGGCCTGTTCCTGTCCCTCGCACCAAGCCTGTGGTGCGCGTCGCCAGCCCGGTCCGGCCCGTTCCTGCTCCCCGCACCAAGCCAGTGGTGCGCGTCGTCAGTCCGGCACGGCCCGTGCCTGCTCCACCGGTGTCCAGTCCAGCTTCGTCCAGCGGGGCCAGACCAGACCAGGGGCACTACGGGGGAGGGGGGGGGGGGGGTAGAGAGAGAGTGGTGGTCACGCCCGGAGCCGGATCCGCCTCCGAGGCGGAATGCCCACCCGGCCCCTACCCCGTTGTGTTGGTGTGGCGCGGTCGCAGTCTGCGCCTTTGGGGGGGGGGGTACTGTCACGCCCTGGCTCGGGGGACTCTTAAATGTTGAGCCAGGGTGTGGAGTTTCTGTTACATTTTCTATGTTTTCGTTCTAGATCGTTTAGATCTATGTTGGCCAGGGTGGTTCCCAATCAGAGGCAGCTGTAGCTCGTTGTCTCTGATTGGGGACCATACTTAGGTAGCCTGTTTTCACTAGTTTATTGTGGGATCTTGTTCTGTAGGGTTTTGTGTATAACCTAGGACTTCACGTATCGTTTGGTTTATTGTTTTGGTTCGTGTGTACACAAATAAAGAATGTACACTTATCACGCTGCGCCTTGGTCCGCTTCATCTGTCAACGATCGTGACACAATGAGTGGTATTCAGTCATTTTTAATTGTGTAACGCAAATGTAAAGGTAAATATGAAATATACACATGCATTTCTTCTTGGTGCAAAGTCAGTGCAAATTACATTTTACATTGTAAATTGTCTTTGTGATAGATGTTCACATTGTGAATGAGATCAGGCCCATAAATATAAACCACAGTGCAACATATAGATGTCTCAAGTTTTGAGGGAGCGTGCAATTGGCATGCTGACTGCAGGAATGTCCACCAGAGCCGTTGCCAGAGAATTTAATTTTGATTTCTCTGCCATAAGCTGCCTCCAACGTTGTTTTAGAGAATTTGGCAGACAACGTGTAACCACGCCAGCCCAGGACCTCCACATCCGGCTTCTTCACCTGCGGGATCATCTGAGACCAGCCACCCAGACAGCTAATGAAACTGGGGGTTTGCACAACCAAATAACTTATTCACAAACTGTCAGAAACCGTCTCAGGGAAGCTCATCTGCATGCTCGTCAACCTCACCAGGGTCTTGACCTGACTGCAGTTCGACATCGTTACCGACTTCAGTGGGCAAATGCTCACCTTCGATGGTAACTGGAGAAGTGTTCTCTTCTGTACCATGCAGATGGCAGACAGCGTGTATGGCGTTGTGTGGGTGAGCGGTTTGCTGATGTCAATGTTGTGAACAGAGTCCCCCATGGTAGCGGTGAGGTTATGGTATGGGCAGGCATAAGCTACGGACACGATAATTTGAATGCACACAGATACCGTGACGAGATCCTGAGGCCCATTGTCATGCCATTCATCTGCCGACATCATCTCATGTTTCACCATGATAATGCATGGCCCCAAGTCATAAGGATCTGCACACAATTCCTGGAAGCTGATAATGTCCCAGTGCTTCCATGGCCTGCATACTCACCAGACATGTCACCCATTGAGCATGTTTGTGATGCTCTGGATCGACGTGTACGACAGCGTGTTCCAGTTCCCACCAATATCCAGCAACTTCGCACAGCCATTGAAGAGGAGTGGGACAACATTCCACAGGCCACAATCAACAGCCTGATCAATGTCGCGCTGCATGAGGCAAATGGTGGCCACACCAGATACTTACTGGTTTTCTGATCCACGACCCTACCTCTTTTAAAAGTTATCTGTATTCCCAGTCATGTGTAATCCACAGATTAGGGCCCAATGAATTATTTCAATTGACTGATTTCGTAATATGAACTGTAACTCAGTAAAATATTTTACATCTTTCCATGTTGTGTTTATATTTTTGTTCAGTGTAAGTATTGTCTTGGTGCGTTCACTCCAGGGTCGGCCCATAGGTCCCAAGCTCCTCGTCCACAAGAGTTTCTCCAGGGTCTTCCCTGTCTCATCTGCCTCCTCTTCGTTGGGCCTGCGCTGTTTCTTTCCATTGTGCCTGGGGGTGCTTGTCAGAGGAGCCACCCCAATTCCATAGTTGTGGTTGTTGTGAAAGGAATTGTGGTTGTAGTCGCTGGACCTGGGCCTCCTCTGTGGGCGAGGGGGTCCTATGTAGGCTGTATCTGTCCTTGGGCCCATCCTAAGGAACAAAAATAAACATTGCTAAGGCTACATATCCCCTCTCATATCAAAACAGCAGGATGTGATCTTAAAGTTAGATTGGATTGCTCAATTTTATGTTTATTTACCTGCTTATACTTGGTGTACTGATTTCTCAGAGAAGTTCAACTTGTGCAATCTGACACAAAGGGGAAAGGGGAAATATTAAACAATGTTTTTAGCAGCAGGCTAGTGCAGGATCTTCTGCAAATAATTCAGGCTTTAGCTTTGTGAATTCAATATTTCCAATTGCAGAGCAGACATATTTTTATCAACACAAAGTTATTAAAGCTGGATGCTGCTAGGTACCCAAGGAAAACAATCAACACATTGGATGAGTCAGTTTGTTATCTGGCTAGCATTCACCTCTGTTCATGGCCAACTAGTTATCTAGAAAACAAACAAAGTAATCAAAGTAACAAAACAGACATAGCCAGCATGCTACATAACATAGTATGGCATACAAAACAAACAGTCCAAACAAAGCTAGCTAGCTACAAATAGACTTTATAACAAGTAGCAATCAAGCTACAGTTGGTAGTGGTCATTTAGCTAGCTAACCAGTTGTCCAACTAGCATTAACTATGGGACAGGCATGGGGTTTTGAGGCAGTCATTAGCCTACTTAAAAACATTTTTATATCAAGTTCAACAAGGACAAAATTATCTTACCCGAACACCCAGATGGCTTACAATCCACTGCCTGTGTCAGAGAGATTTGGTGTCTCTCTGTCAATACTGCCGACTTGTTATACTGCCGGGCTCTTTTCCACCAAAGAGATTAAGATCTCTTCCTTGTCTTCAGTCCAAAATTGCTGCGTCATTTCGACCAAAATCCCTGACCTTAACCACTAAGGTTGAACGGTATCCAGATTTTCATACCTTCATCCCGTTCCTGTACCATACGGTATTACCGGCAGTGCACACAAGGGGCGCTATTTCTTTCCAAAAGAAATTTGAGCTGGAGATAATTTATTTGGCACATCTTAGATGGTTAACTTATAGTTATAACCAATGGCGTAGCATGCAGCCCCCCAAGCTTTAGAATAAAAATATTGATTTAACAGTATTGAAAATCATACCGTCTGTATTTCAAAATACCCCGGTATACGGTATACCGCCCAAGCCTATTAACTACACTGCTAACCTTATGCCTAACCTTAAATGAAGACCAAAAAGAATACCCATTTTATTTTCATGAATCTTTAGGAAATAGACAATTTTGACTTTGTGGCTGTGGAATCTAGTGGAAACCCTAGCTAGCAAGCTAGTTAATTCAAATATGGCGCACCAGAAAGTCCCCACTTTTTTTGCTCTTGTTGATCATTACTTCCGCTCTCTTCTCATGTTTTCTGATTGTCTCAGAGTAGAAATGCCGCTAGCCGACAGGGGAACCTGATTCTACATTTAGAAATGCTGGAAAATGTCAGCAGTCAGACAATATCGTCAGGTGGTCCCCAAAATACACCACGTAGTCAGCAAGCAAACGAGTGGTAGACAACCAATGGCCGATCAACATCCAGGCTCTGTCGTAGCCGGCTGCGACCGGGAGACCCATGGGGCGGCGCACAATTGGCCAAGCGTCGTCCAGGGTAGGGGAGGGAATGGCTGGCAGGGATGTAGCTCAGTTGGTAGAGCATGGCGTTTGCAACGCCAGGGTTGTGGGTTCGATTCCCACGGGGGGGCAGTATGATTTTTTATTTTATTTTTAATAATGTATGTATTCACTTACTGTAAGTCGCTCTGGATAAGAGCGTCTGCTAAATGACTAAAATGTAAATGTAAATGTATGTGGCTCTTAAAACACTCTACTCCGGATCATGGTGCATCAATCAATCTTCTCAGCTTATGGAAATAGTCCATGTCCTTAGGTTTTCCTGCTCGTAGGTTTTAAATCCACCTGAATTTGAATCTGAATCTGGTTGTTTGTGGTGACCTATATTGTATCACACTCCAGGAGAGAGCTGAACCAAACGGCTGGCTTGTATTTACTAACTCCCTGCCCTGGGGGTATGTAGGGAGGGAGAGAAAGAAAGGAGTGGAGTACAGCTGGGTTTCAATGGAATTACATACACATTAGGCAATTATACACTGACTCAGGCTTTCTCTCTTTCAGTCATACACACACATGTGCACAAACATTGTACAAATTCTCACTCGCACACGCTTGCATACACCAATTGGGATTCTCTCACTCGCAGATGTGTCAGTCTGGGTCTCACTCACTCTCTCAACTTAAACACACACACACACACACACACACACACAGACACACACATGGAACAACATAGACTTTCCGCTTGGTTGTTAATGGCCTCTGACATTAGTGTGCGTGCCAGCAGGAGCAGCGGTGGATAAGACAGAGAGACAGAGAGCGATAATGGATTTGAGCCTGTCACCATTCAGTCCCAATTAAACACACACAAACACAACTGAAGTCACTCAGCTCTATATATGGGCCTGTTACAGCTCACCACTTCCTTGTTCCCTTATCTCTGTACATACAGTACCAGTCAAAAGTTAGGACACACCTACTCATTCAAGGGTTTTTATTTATTTGTACTATTTTCTACATTGTAGAATAATTGTAAAGACATCAAAACTATGAAATAACACATATGGAATCATGTAGTCACCAAAAAACTCTTAAACAAATCAAAATATATTTTAGATTTTAGATTCTTCAAAGTAGCCACCCTTTGCCTTGATGACAGTTTTGCACACTCTTGGCATTATTATTATTATTATTATTATTATTATTATTATTATTATTATTATTATTATTATTATTATAGCAATCTGGTGATAGCAGATTAGGAGAAAGTGACCTGTATTGATTGGGTGAAGTTTGTGAATTATTTTGACTGTTGTAGACAAACACATATGAACTCATTGACAACATGTGGAAGTGCCCGTTCTGTATATAAAGTAGGGTAGAGATTGAGGTAACCCGTCCTGCAAGTACAGGGAACTTTATGTTCCACCCGCTGATCTTATTTTCGGAAGGGCTAGGGAGGGGCGAGGGAGGGGTATACTATGTGGGGTATGCACTGGAACAGACCACATGGGAAGTGTTTATGTGTATACGATATGTGTATGCATTCAGGTATCCATATCACGTAGACTGTGGTCCATACATACAGTGGGGAAAAAAGGTATTTAGTCAGCCACCAATTGTGCAAGTTCTCCCACTTAAAAAGATGAGAGAGGCCTGTAATTTTCATCATAGGTACACGTCAACTATGACAGACAAATTGAGAAAGAAAAATCCAGAAAATCACATTGTAGGATTTTTAATGAATTTATTTGCAAATTATGGTGGAAAATAAGTATTTGGTCACCTACAAACAAGCAAGATTTCTGGCTCTCACAGACCTGTAACTTCTTCTTTAAGAGGCTCCTCTGTCCTCCACTCGTTACCTGTATTAATGGCACCTGTTTGAACTTGTTATCAGTATAAAAGACACCTGTCCACAACCTCAAACAGTCACACTCCAAACTCCACTATGGCCAAGACCAAAGAGCTGTCAAAGGACACCAGAAACAAAATTGTAGACCTGCACCAGGCTGGGAAGACTGAATCTGCAATAGGTAAGCAGCTTGGTTTGAAGAAATCAACTGTGGGAGCAATTATTAGGAAATGGAAGACATACAAGACCACTGATAATATCCCTCTATCTGGGGCTCCACGCAAGATCTCACCCCGTGGGGTCCAAATGATCACAAGAACGGTGAGCAAAAATCCCAGAACCACACGGGGGGACCTAGTGAATGACCTGCAGAGAGCTGGGACCAAAGTAACAAAGCCTACCATCAGTAACACACTACGCCGCCAGGGACTCAAATCCTGCAGTGCCAGACGTGTCCCCCTGCTTAAGCCAGTACATGTCCAAGCCCGTCTGAAGTTTGCTAGAGTGCATTTGGATGATCCAGAAGAGGATTGGGAGAATGTCATATGGTCAGATGAAACCAAAATATAACTTTTTGGAAAAAACTCAACTCGTCATGTTTGGAGGACAAAGAATGCTGAGTTGCATCCAAAGAACACCATACCTACTGTGAAGCATGGGGGTAGAAACATCATGCTTTGGGACTGTTTTTCTGCAAAGGGACCAGGACGACTGATCCGTGTAAAGGAAAGAATGAATGGGGCCATGTATCGTGAGATTTTGAGTGAAAACCTCCTTCCATCAGCAAGGGCATTGAAGATGAAACGTGGCTGGGTCTTTCAGCATGACAATGATCCCAAACACACCGCCCGGGCAACAAAGGAGTGGCTTCGTAAGAAGCATTTCAAGGTCCTGGAGTGGCCTAGCCAGTCTCCAGATCTCAACCCCATAGAAAATCTTTGGAGGGAGTTGAAAGTCCATGTTGCCCAGCGACAGCCCCAAAACATCACTGCTCTAGAGGAGATATGCATGGAGGAATGGGCCAAAATACCAGCAACAGTGTGTGAAAACCTTGTGAAGACTTACAGAAAACGTTTGACCTGTGTCATTGCCAACAAAGGGTATATAACAAAGTATTGAGAAACGTTTGTTATTGACCAAATACTTATTTTCCACCATAATTAGCAAATAAATTCATAAAAAATCCTACAATGTGATTTTCTGGATTTTTTCTTCTCATTTTGTCTGTCATAGTTGACGTGTACCTATGATGAAAATTACAGGCCTCTCTCATCTTTTTAAGTGGGAGAACTTGCACAATGTATGTTTTTCTATTTATTCAGGTGTCCATACGTGTGTTTGTTTGTGTGTTGTTTATGTTTCCATTCATAGTATGTGTTCACTTGTGTTTCCTGTTAGAGATATTTTGAAGAACATTGTGTATTGGTTCTCAACAAGTGTTGAGGAAGCCCAAAAAAGTTTGAGAAGAACCCATTCTCAAATGATCCAATGGATGCTATAACATCTTCAGTTAATAATGTCTTCAGTAAGTCAATGGCCCTCTGTGATGTTGCTCTGAAAGTAGATCCATTCTGCTGTTATAACTGAAAACAGATGTAGTGTTCTGTTCTTTCTCCCTCAGCATGTGGTGGCCTGTATTTATTCCCTTGGCGGTTCTCAGAGCAGTTTGGAACACTAGCGTTAGCATTAGCTTGTTGGGAACAATAGCTTAAAATGTTCTGCCCTCACAAGGCTTGATTGCCATAGGAAAATGGGATGATACATTGTGGGATGATACTTTAGCAACAATCTTCGGCCACAATTTGGTGAAATAAACTGGTTCAGTCTGTTCCAGTGATGTGCGGTGAGGTCGTTGGCTGGGTCGACACTGGCTATTATCAAAACCAGATTTACTCACAAATTAACCTTGATGATAGCCAACAACCAGAGTGACATTGGCTATTAACCGAAATTGACAAACAATTTTCACCAAATGTAGGCCTAAATACCAATGTAGCCAAGATACACAAGCGATAGCCTCTGATGGCTGTATAATTTATACCATCTGACAAAATGGCATCATCTCAGCTCAGCCATAGACCGATGTGGTATTACAACCAATAGGTGGTATTAAAAGACCAATATATGCACACATTTTATCAAAATAGTTTGCAACGCAATGGATTTATAATTTCCTTTCACAATGGATTTACAATTCTTCCAATACACCGCGCAAACATGCACACACACACACACACACATATTATTTGAAATATTATTACACACACATACAGGTAACTGCCAAAATAAAGGAAACACCAACATGAAAAGTGTCTTAATGGGCCGTTGGGCCACCACGAGCCAGAACAGCTTCAATCAAATCAAATTGTATTGAATACAACAGGTGTGAATACAACAGGTGTAGACCTTACTGTGAAATGCTTACTTACAAGCCCTTAACCAACAATGCAGTTTTAAGAAAATAGAGTTAAGAAAATATTTACTAAATAAACTAAAGTAACATTTTAAAAAAAGTTACACAATAAAATAACAATAACGAGGCTATATACAGGCGGTACCGGTACCGAGTCAATGTGTGGGGGTATAGGTTAGTCAGTCGAGGTAATTTGTACATGTAGGTAGGGGTAAAGTGACTATGCATAGATAATAAACAGCGAGTAGCAGCAGTGTAAAAACAAAGGGGGGGAGGGGAGGGGAGGGGGGGGGGGGGGGGTCAATGCAAATAGTCCAGGTTGCCATTTATTTAATTGTTCAGCAGTCTTATGGCTTGGGGGTAGAAGCTGTTAAGGAGCCTTTTGGACCTAGACTTGGTGCTCCGGTACCGCTTGCCATGCGGTAGCAGAGAGAACAGTCTATGTCTTGGGTGACTGGAGTCTTTGAAAAAAATCAGCTCCTTTGTCTTGCTCACGTTGAGGGAGAGGTTGTTGTCTTGGCACCACATTGCCAGGTCTCTGACCTCATCCCTATAGGCTGTTTCATCGTTGTCGGTGATCAGGCCTATCACTGTTGTGTCATCAGCAAACTTAATGATGGTGTTGGAGTCGTGCTTGGCCAGGCAGTCATGGGTGAACAGGGAGTACAGAAGGGGCCTAAGCACGCACCCCTAAGGGGCCCCCATGTTGAGGATCAGCGTGGCAGATGTGTTGTTGCCTACCCTTACCACCTGGTGGCAGCCTGTAAGGAAGTCCAGGATCCAGTTGCAGAGAGAGGTGTTTAGTCCCATGGTCCTTAGCTTAGTGATGAGCTTTGTGGGCACTATGATGTTGAACGCGAAGCTGTAGTCAATGAACAGCATTCTCACAAAGGGGTTATTTTTGTCCAGGTGGGAAAGGGCCGTGTGGAGTGCGATTGAGATTGCATCATCTGTGGATCTGTTGGGGCGGTATGCGAATTGGAGTTGGTCTAGGGTTTCCGGGATGATGGTGTTGATGTGAGCCATGACCAGCCTTTCAAAGCACCTCGTGGCTACTGACGTGAGTGCTACAGGGTGTTAGTCATTTAGGCAGGTTACCTTTGTTTTCTTGGGCACAGGGACTATGGTGGTCTGTTTGAAACATGTAGGTATTACAGACTCGGTCAGGGAGAGTTTGAAAATGTCAGTGAAGACACTTTATCCGCGCATTATCTGAGTACACGTCCTGGTAATCCATCTGGCTCCACGGACTTGCGAATGTTGACGTGTTTAAAGGTCTTGCTCACATCGGCTACAGAGAGCGTGATCACACAGCCGTCCTGAACAGCTGGTGCTCTAATGCATGCTTCAGTGTTGCTTGCTTCGAAGCGAGCATAAAAAGCATTTAGCCCGTCTGGTAGGCTCTCGTCACTGGGCAGCTCGCAGCTGGGTTTCCCTTTGTAGTCCGTAATAGTTTGCAAGCCCTGCCACATCCGACGAGCGTCAGAGCCGGTGTAGTAGGACTCAATCTTAGTCCTGTATTGATGCTTTGCCTGTTTTATGGTTCATCTGAGGGCAGAGCGGGATTTCTTATAAGTGTCCGGATTAGTGTCCAGCTCCTTGAAAGAGGCAGCTATAGCCTTTAGCTCAGTGAGGATGTGTCCTGTAATCCATGGCTTCTGGTTGGGATATGTACGTACGGTCACTGTGGGGACGTCATCATCGATGCACTTATTGATGAAGCCGGTGCCTGAGGTGGTATAATCCTCAATGTAATTGGATGAATCCCGGAACATATTGCAGTCTGTGCTAGCAAAACAGTCCTGTAGCGTAGCATCCGCGTCATCTGACCACTTCCGTATTGAGCGAGTCACTGGTACTTCCTGCTTTAGTTTTTGCAGGAATCAGAAGGATAGAATTATGGTCAGATTTGCCAAATGGAGGGCGAGAGAGAGCTTTGTATGCTTCTCTGTGTGTGGAGTAAAGGTGGTCTAGTGTTCTTTTTCCTCTGGTTGCACATGTGAAATGCTGGTAGAAATTAGGAAAAATAGATTTATTTGCCTGCATTAAAGTCCCCGGCCACTAGGAGCACCGCTTCTGGATGAGCATTTTCTTGTTTGCCTATGGCCTTATACAGCTCATTGAGTGCGGTCTTAGTGCCAGCATCGGTTTGTGGTGGTAAATAGACGGCTACGAAAAATATTGATGAAAACTCTCTTGGTAGATAGTGTGGTCTATAGCTTCTCATGAGGTACTCTACCTCTGGTGAGCAATACTTCTTCCACTCGTGTGTCATCAACGGAAACGTCCCTATTAACATTACCAACTAGCTTGGTTAGCTCGGACTCGCATAATAGTTGTTGCCTGTGTAGGCCTATTGGATATTTGTTATATCATTATTTATTGAGATTCTTGTCTCGCATTGAATCTCTGCTAGATAGCTCCATGCCAATAATTTGTTTAACATAGTAACGTCGAATGAATAGAATTATTAAAATTAACGACTGGGTCAAAACATGAGAAAATAACTAACGACTAGCCCGCTTGGGTAGCAACTTCAGAATGCAAAAACAAATGTACTCATTAAAATAATAAGAATTTTTTTTCATATTTCTATAAATATATTGGCAACCGTTTTATAAAAGTAATAATGCCCTTAAAGCCTGTAATTATCGTGTGACAACTCTCCCCAAGGGCTGTATCCAGGCCCTTGGCTTCACCTCGGGCCTCACAAGCTGACTACACCGTGCACGTGCATATGTCCACGTGCGCCATCGAGCACATGTTGGTTTTGTCCATCCACACCAGACACGATCAGGATATGCAGGTTGAAACATCAAAATGAACTCAGAACCAACTATATTCATTTGGGGACAGGTCGAAACACTTGAAACATTCATGGACATTTAGCTAGCTAGCTTGCTGTTGCTAGCTTGCTGTTGCTAGCTAATTTGTCCTCGGATATAAACATTGGATTGTTAATTTACCTGAAATGCACAAGGTCCTTTTTTTTCTGGATCTTTGTAGAATTTTTACCCATTCTGAGTTACACAAAATCGTGTGTTCTCTAGTCCGACAATTAATCCACAGATAAAAGGGGAAACCTAGATAGTTTCTAGTCATCTCTCCTCCTTCAGTCTTCTTCTTCTTTGGACTTTATATGAAGGTTGGCAACCAACTTTAAGGTGCATTACCACCACCAACTGGACTGGAGTGTGAACCTCAGTTCAGCTTTCAATCACCCACTTGGGTATATGCTCCTAAAAACCAATGAGGAGATGGGAGAGATGGGACTTGCAGCGCGTCAAGCGTCAAAAATAGAACCAAGTTCTATTTTAGCGCCTGGCTATGCAGACGCTCGCGAGCAGTTTGGATTAAATTATTGAATAACATGTATGTGTACATTTATTTTGCAACGCTTGCACACGCAAAGTGGGCGGTATGGTCAGCATGTCAGAACAGCCCTTGTTGGGAGTTGCCACATGATAATTCCAGGGTTCTCAGGCATTATTGCTTAATTAAGTACACAAATTGTTAAACTACGTCAGGAATTTTATAGAAGCTGATTCTATAAAAAGTGACATCTTTCACAAGCATCTGTTTCCAATTACATCTTAGTAAATGTTGATTATTAAAATAGAAAAGGGCATCCACCATCTATTTACTTTTTCTTCTGTTGTCTGAGTGAAGCTAAAACGACCAAGACCGCTCATTAGTTAGACACACAAGTGAGCATGAAAGATCAAAGCAAGATTATTGGTATTTGTTGTGACAAGTGGATTAGATTAGATGACAATGACATCTCAGCGGACGTGTAAACTCCTCTCCTTCCCTGCATAGATGAACCATGCTAGTCTAGACTATTGTTTGTTTTGATGATCACGTTATGCACAATGAATGACGGGGCTGAGAGATGTTTTCTTTGTTAGAAAATACAATCTACTTTGGGGCCTTTGATATGGTCATGACAAATTCATTAGACTAATATAATGACTAAGATAAACTACAATAGACTATAGTAATCAAATAAATAGATAACAGCACATCATTTAATTACAAATGATAATGTTACAATACAAATGTTAGAGGACACACAGATCACTCTCTGTAGCCATCTTATTTGAAGTCCCAAAACTACCGTCACTTAGGTTCTGTAGATCTGCAAAGTGCACAATCTGGTCTGCTGCTGGCTAATCAGCAAGTATTAAGAATTACACTATCAGCTTGTTAGGCTAAATCTGCTCATCCACCAGTGGCCTATATTGTGGGAGTTTTTATAACCACTGATCTGTAGTCCTCCAGTGTAGTTTATGCCTGCAGGGATGGAGGCAGGTCACGTCAATGCTTTCCCTGTACTGTCTGGTACCATTACAGCCGCATGCCAATATGCAACATGCATAAATGCAATGGTCTTTGTGCTCAGTTCCAACCAACAGTTGAACTAGTGTACTCCCAAGATAAGCGTCATGTTCATGTCATGCAACTGACTTTTTCAAAAGCTCCCAGTCCCATGACAATGAGACATGCCTGGTTAAATAAATGATACAAGAAATTTAGAAATATAACCACTTATTTTCTGACTTTTGGTGAGTGTGTGTCAGTGATCCAAGTGGTTCCCTTCTAACACTGCTCCATGGCAAGATTACAATATTTAAATGAGACTTCCCTGGTGAAATAAAGGATTATTTAAAGGGTAAATATAATGTATCTTCACAGAGCTTATCTGTGAACTCTGGTGACTGACTGCTCTGTGTTCCTGTAGGGATGGAGTTCCCTGTGGACGGCCTGGCCAGCGTGACCCAAGAGGTCCTGGAGAGATCAGCCCAGGACTACATGAACAGCATCCTCCACAACAATCCAGACTCACCCGAACACCTCACCCTCGCCAACAACATACAGGTAAACACAATCCACACAGGTAAAGGAGCTTTGACTGCATTTGATGGCCAAATATCTGTCATTGAATCTGCCTTGGCTAGATTTACATTAACGCCTTCCAGTTCTACATTTGTTCAAGGTCCGTTTTGCCACATTAAACTACATTACATTTATATTGTGAAATCTGCCCCCTTTCTTAGGAAATAGCCTCTTTGATTAAATTAAAATGTACAACTTCCCTAGCATTTTTCTACTGTATGCTAAATTACACCCCAATAGATTAAATTGTTGAATTTTGACCTTGTGCTCCTGTCCTCACCCAGGTGCCCATTGGTCTTTCCAATGTGGGTTTCGTCCCTCTGTATGGAGGCTACCTGAGACAGAAGGTCCTTGCCCTGTTCTCCCCACAGGACCAGTTTACAGGTGACTGACTGAGTCACATTGTCTTATGAGGAAACTGTTGATGATGTTGACACAAAATGGAGACTGCTCATGGATAAACTGGGCTGTTTTGGTTTAATCCATGGTCTGTTCAAATCTCCCCTCCCCCTACCTAAGGCTAGTGTAATGCCACAGTGTATTTTGTGCCTTCAGGAACTATAAAATGAATCATGAAAATGTTTACCAATTGTAGCGGTTATTTATTTAAAAGCGGTACATATAGTATGTTTCCATTGATCAACCTTCAGATATTTCTACAACTTGATTGGACTCCACCTGTGGTAAATTCAATTGATTTGACATGATTTGGAAAGGCACACCCCTGTCTATATAAGGTCCCACAGTTGACAGTGCATGTCAGAGCAAAAACCAAGCCATGATGTTGTAGGAATTGTCTGTAGAGCTCTGAGACAGGATTGTGTCCAAAAAATGTCTGCAGCATTGAAGGTCCCCAAGAACACAGTGGTCTCCATCATTCTTAAATGGAAGAAGTTTCGAACCACCAAGACTCTTCCTGAGCAATTGAGCAATCGAGGGAGAAAAGGCCTTGGTCAGAGAGGTGACCAAGAACCTGATGGTCACTCTGACAGAGCTCTAGAGTTCCTCTGTGGAGATGGGAGAACCTTCCAGAAGGATAACCATCTCTGCACCTAAAGGACTCTCAGACCATGAGAAACATGAATGCTAAGCGTCACGTCTGGAGGAAACCAGGCACCGCTCATCACCTGGCCAATACCATCCCTACGGTGAAGAATGGTGGTGGCAGTTTCATGCTGTGAGGATGTTTTTCAGCGGAAGGGTCTGGGAGACTAGTCAGGATCGAGGGAAAGATGAACGGAGCAAAGTACAGAGAGATCCTTGATGAAAACCTGCTCCAGAGAGCTCAGGACCTCAGACTGTTGCGAAGGTTCACCTTCCAACAGGACAACAACCCTAAGCACACAGCCAAGAGAACGCAGGAGTGGCTTCGTGGACACGTCTCTGAATGTCCTTGAGTGGCCCAGCCAGAGCCTGGACTTGAACCCGATCTAACATCTCTGGAGATACCTGAAAATAGCTGTGCAGCGACTCTCCCCATCCAACCTGACAGAGCTTGAGAGGATCTGCAGAGAAGAATGGGAGAGACTCCCCAAATACAGATGTGCCAACCTTGTAGCGTCATACCCAAGAAGAATCGAGGCTGTAATCGCTGCCAAAGGTGGTTCAACAAAGTACTGAGTAAAGGGTCTGAATACTTATGTAAATATGATATTTCCTGTTTTGTTTTTTTATACAATGTGGAAAACGTGAAGGGGTCTGAATCCTTTCCGAATGCACTGTATGTAATTGTTGTGTGTGTTATCTCTCTCAGCGGTGGGGCTGTACCTGTTGGATCGATGGTGGTCACTGGAGGACATCCTAAAAACAGCAGACCCTGCCAGAGATGGATGTGTGGAGGTACTATCTTTGAAAACTATTTCAGCTGTATGTGTAGTAATACACCACCTGGTTGTCGAGAAATAGCATGTGTATGAATTCTCACTATTGTTGCAGAAGTTATTATACAGCAGCAAAAGCAATTGTGAAATTAGACGCATCCAAGAGAGACAATAGGTATATATTTTTGGGTTTCTTTTTTAAATATATTTTACAAGAATGAGACAGTATTGGGTCAATGAATTGAATGAGAGACACACAGGGGTGCTGACTGATGTGGTTGTGGTTTCCTCTATAGGTGGAGACTCTAGGGGAGAGGATAGTTCTGTACATTTTGAACCGTGTGGTGTACAGAGCCATGGAAATGAGTTCAGACGAACTACCTTTCCTCTGCCACGGGGAGAGCGACAACGCCAAGATCCTCTGGAAAGACGGACAGGCAGTCGGCTTCTACTCAGTCAAACCTTCAGGTAAGGAACCTGGCATTGACATGGTAGATAAAGGTAATGATGCTCAATTCTCATCACACATCAGTTATTATGGAGTAGAGCTGTGTTCAAGAGCTGTGTTCAAAACAAAGATAGTTCCTAACTCACAAAGCCAATGAACATTTTCGCATAGACGTTTATATGTATTGTATGCTCTCCAATGTATATATACTTGAACACAAATATAAACGCAACATGCCATAATTTCAACAATTTTATTGAGTTACAGTTCATATGAGGAAATCAGTCAATTGAAATAAATTCATTAGGCTCTTATCTATGGATTTCACATGACTGGGAATACAAATATGCATCTGTTGGTCACAGATACCTTAAAAAAAATTGTCCTCACAATGGGCCTCAGGATCTCGTCACGGTATTTCTGCAATTGTGTTCGTTGTCTGTAGCTTATGCCTGCCCATACCATAACCCCACGGCCATCATGGGGCGCTCTGTTCAAAACGTTGACATCAACAAACCACTCGCCCACACGATGCCATACACCCAGTCTGCGGTTGTGAGGCCGGTTGGATGTACTGCAAAATTCTCTAAAATGACGTTGGAGGCGGCTTATGGTATAAAAATGAACATTCAATTCTCTGGAATCAGCTCTGGTAGACATTCCTGCAGTCCGCATGCCAATTGCACACTCCCTCAAAACTTGTGACATTGGGTTGTGTGACAAAACTGCACATTTTAGAGTGGCCTTTTATTGTCCCCAGCACAAAGTGCACCTGTGTAATGATCATGCTGTTTAATCAGCTTCTTGATATGCCACACCTGTCAGGTGGATGGATTATCTTGGCAAAGGAGAAATGCTCACTAACAGGGATGTAAACGAATTTGTGCACAAAATTGTATACGGTTGAAGTCGGAAGTTTACATACACCTTAGCCAAATACATTTAAACTCAGTTTTTCCCAATTCCTGACATTTAATCCTAGTAACAATTCCCTGTCTTAGGTCAGTTAGGATCACCACTTTATTTTAAGAATGTGAAATGTCAGAATAATAGTAGAGAGTGATTTATTTAGGCTTTTATTTCTTTCATCACATTCCCAGTGGGTCAGAAGTTTACATACACTCAATTAGTATTTGGTAGCATTGCCTTTAAATTGTTTAACTTGGGTCAAATGTTTCGGTTAGCCTTCCAGAAGCTTCCCACAATAAGTTGGGAGAATTTTGGCCCATTCCTCCTGACAGAGCTGGTGTAACTGAGTCAGGTTTGTAGGCCTCCTTGCGCGCACACACTTTTTCAGTTCTGTCCACAAAATGTCTATAGGATTGAGTTCAGGGCTTTGTGATGGCCACTCCAATACCTTGACTTTGTTGTCCTTAAGCCATTTTGCCACAACTTTGGAAGTATGCTTGGGGTCATTGTCCATTTGGAAGACCCATTTGCGACCAAGCTTTAACTTCCTGACTGATGTCTTGAGATGTTGCTTCAATATAGCCACATCATTTTCCTTCATCATGATGCCATCTATTTTGTGAAGTGCACCAGTCCCTCCTGCAGCAAAGCACCCCCACAGCATGATGCTGCCACCCCCGTGCTTCACGGTTTGGATGGTGTTCTTCGGCTTGCACGCGCCGTCCTTTTTCCTCCACACATAACAATGGTCATTATGGCCAAACAGTTCTATTTTTGTTTCATCAGACCAGAGGACATTTCTTCAAAAAGTACGATCTTTGTCCCCATGTGCAGTTGCAAACCGTAGTCTGGCTTTTTTATGGCGGTTTTGGAGCAGTGGCTTCTTCCTTGCTGAGCGGCCTTTCAGGTTATGTCGCTATCGGACTCATTTTACTGTGGATATAGATACTTTTGTACCTGTTTCCTCCAGCATCTTCACAAGGTCCTTTGCTGTTGTTCTGGGATTGATTTGCACTTTTCGCACCAAATTACGTTAATCTCTAGGAGACAGAACGCGTCTCCTTCCTGAGCGGTATGATGGCTGCGTGGTCCCATGGTGTTTATACTTGCGTACTATTGTTTGTACAGATGAACGTGGTACCTTCAGGCATTTGGAAATTGTTCCCAAGGATGAACCAGACTTGTTGAGGTCTACAATTTCTTTTCTGAGGTCTTGGCTGATTTATTTAGATTTTCCCATGATGTCAAGCAAAGAGGCACTGAGTTTGAAGGTAGGCCTTGAAATACATCCACAGGTACACCTCCAATTGACTCAAATGATGTCAATTAGCCTATCAGAAACTTCTAAAGCCATGACATCATTTTCTGGAATTTTCCAAGCTGTTTAAAGGCACAGTCAACTTATGACCCACTGGAATTGTGATACAGTGAATTATAAGTGAATTAATCTGTCTATAAACAATTGTTGGAAAAATTACTTGTGTCATCCACAAAGTAGATGTCCTAACCGACTTGCCAAAATTATAGTTTGTTAACAAGAAATTTGTGGAGTGGTTGAAAAACGAGTTTTAATGACTCCTACCTAAGTGTATGTAAACTTCCGACTTCAACTGTACATGTGTCTGAGTATCTTCTGTTGTCATGCGTCTCCATATGTTTTCCTATTTTCCCTATAGGCAGCTTGTGCAGTACCTTCTTAACACAGTGCTATCAGCTTCCTATCATGGACTCCATATTCGTCAGGAAGTGTCACCGCGGCAATGGCCTGGGCCTTCAAATGCTGGAGAACTTTGTTGACTGTTTCAAAGAGGACTGCCTTGGGTTGAGATACCCCCTTTCAAAAGCTATGTACAAAGGTAATCAATGTTCACACAGGGAAATACAAGGGTGGTTGAAAGATCTCAAAACATTCCTTATACTCTCCTAATCTGCAGCCATCAGCCTACCAGTCCACTACCCTAACAACTTCTTATTGTTTTCCAGTGTGTGGGAAGTACCTGAGCCTGTATCCCGGCCGACAGAGACCTGCTGTGGGAGGTGGAGAGTGTTGGAGGACCCAGCCAGAGGACTAACATAGCCAACAAGATCCAGGCTATGGGCCTGAGTGGTATGTTTATCTCAAGTTTAAAATGGCAGACGTGCACATCCCTTAACGCCTGAGTGTCTAGATTGCTGTACTTAGGGTGCTAGAATGACACGTCACTGTACGTCTTGAACGGAGACGATTCTCACTAAAATGATGGAATTGTGACTTCTTCCCTCAGCCTTATCCAAGTACCTCTCCTTTACGGAGCACTCTGTGTTGAACCCTGTGGTGGCTGAAAATGAGGGGGTCATGGAGGAAGTGACATCACGCATACAGGAACAGGAAGCCATGGAGTACACCGTTGAAATTGTGGTATGTTTTTTAATGTAACAATAGATTTAATGTAAAGAATATATATAACATGTTATGTGACAAATAATCTGTATATTGTTCAATATTTTAGTTTTGTATTACTTACTTATAGTATGTACAATTTAATGTTGTTTATTGTAAGGGTAGGTGTGAGGTGTGACCCAGGTGCGGTGCAGGATAGACAGTAGGCAGTAGGCAGAGATGGTGAAAACAAGGATCTTTACTGGTGGTCCCGAAGCCAGGTTACAAAACAGCGGACTTAACATGATAAAAGAATGGTGGCGCAAATAAGTCTCCAAAAACAGGCTGACAGCCAAAATACGAAATAGTAACTACGACTGAAATAATAAAGAAACAGGGAGAACACTTCTCGATTACCTATACATACTTCTCCGATCAGACACTGATTAGTACTGCTGAGCATAGAGAAAGTAGCAGAGAAAACTGAGCAAGGGAACACAGGGAAGTGAGGGCATAAATACATAGGTGAACAGGTAGACACAGGTGACACCAATAGGATAATGATTAGTCCAGACTGTGAGTAAGGAGGTGCCTAAGGTTGTCGGAGGATGACACCTAGTGGGTTGCTCCGGAACCGCGGCACCCTCCTGTAACAGTTTATTGTTTTGCTTACGTAATAACATTTACTTTGTTTATAGGAGGAAGTTACACTGGTCAAAGTGACAAAAGGCAAGTATTGGTTGTTTCATGTGCTGGATCTTGGTAATAACTTCTAACGTATGTTCACTGAAACTACACAGAGTTTCTCCTCCTAACATCATTTTTGATTATGTTTCCAGAGAAGGAAGAAACGCCAGTTACAACCCGAGGCAGGAGCAGTGGCCTCAAATGTGAGAATATCTCAGAGGAAAGCAAAGCAGAGAAAGCCATCAGGTAACAGAGAATGTGAATACTTCTTTGTTTCAAATGTTCATGGAATACAGTAAAACACATGAACAGTTAAATAGCTATTGCCTAAATTAAGGTCATTCACTTTGGCATATCTGTGTGGTGTAGGATTGAGGATATTGAAGCAGAGGTGGATACTCCAAAAGAGAAGCCAGTTTCAGAGCATCAGCAAGAGAATGAAAAATGTGTTCCTGTAGCTGAGTCCGACAAAGAGGAGTTAGCTGAGGTATGTATACGATTCATACGATTCATAAACAATTAATCAATGTTTTTCAAATGTCCAGAAGTAAGGAGGCTTAAGTGACACACGCTCTTTAAAAACATTTTTTTTGGGGACAGGATAACGTTGACACAGCCACGGAGGACACAGCAATTGAGCTTGATAATGTGTCCTCAGAGATCAAGGAGGTGGAGGAGGCAGAGGAGGTTCCAATGGAGGTGACAGGAACCAATGAAGACAAAGAAGAGAACAAAGAAGAAACAGCTGAAGAACCCTCGAAGGAGGAAACGAAAAGAAGAGGCAGACCAAGATCCACTTGTCTCACAAAACCTGCTGAGGTTGAGGAGGAGACAGTGAAAGAGGAGCAGCCAGCAGTTGAGGAACCTGCTGAGGAAGAGGAGAAGATCTCGCCAGCTGAGGAGGAAGAGGCAGCTCCAGTGGTAGAAACACGAGTCTTGAGGAGAGGAAGAAAAAGCATTCCAGCTACCCCTACACCAAAATGCAAGTCCACAAGAAGAGGCAAACAGCCTGAGGAAGAGGAGGAGGCAGAAGAGCCAGAGGAGGAAGAGGCAGCCGAGGAAGAAGAAGAGGCACCAGTAGTGGAAGCAAAAGTTCTGAGGAGAGGAAGGAGAGCTGCCCCTGCTCCTGTCCCTGCCACACCTAGACGCAAATCCACTCCAACTGTTGTTGAAGAGGAAGAGGCAGAAAAAACAGATGAAATGACAGAGGAGGAAGTAGATGGCAAAGTCCAGGAAAAAGCTGTTGAGAAAGAGAAGGCCACAACAACAACAAGCCAAGAGGAACAGGAAGTGGAGGCAGAGAGCCTTGAGGATGGAACAGAGGAGGAGAAGGAGGAGGAAGAAGAAAAGATTGAGGATATCGGCGTGGAATGTGTTGCAGATAAAGTGGTAGAAAAGCCAGTTGAGGAACCTGCAGAGGAAGAGGAGAAGATCTCACCACCAGAGGAGGAAAATGAGGAAGAGGAGGCTGCAGTTGTCGAAACAAGAGTTTTGAGGATAGGAAGAAAAAGGGTTCCAGCTACTCCAAGTCCGAAACGCAAGTCCACAAAAAGAGGCAAACAAGCCGAGGTAGAGAAGGAGGAGGAACAGGCAGCTGTGGAACAAAAGGCACCAGTAGTGGAAACCAGAGTTATGTGGAGAGGAAGCAGAGGCAAATTTTCTGCCCCTGCCACACCCAGACGCAAATCCACACGAGCATGCAAACAACCTGAGAAAGAGGAAGTGGAGGCAGAAAAGGTAGAGGATGAAAAGATGGAGGAGGCGGCTGAACCTGTTCAGGAATCTGTGGAGGAAAAGATGGATGAGGGAAAAGCAGTGGACAAAGCAACAGTTGCAACAGTGGAAAGTGTGGAGGAAGAGGAAAAGGTGGAGGAAGAGAAGGAAGCGGAGACAGCAGAAGTAGAAATGTTTGAGGAAACTGAAGCTGCAACAGTGGGGAGTGTGGAGGAAGAAAATGTGGAGAAGGAAGCAAACCCCACAGAGGAAGAAAAGGTGGAGGAACCAACAACTGAAGAAGAGGAACAAGTGGAGGAAGAGAAGACAGAGGTGGAAGGAGAAGAGGAAACAGTTATGGAAATAGCTGTAGAAAAACTAACAATGGTAGTTGAAGAGGCAGAAAAAGTGGAGGAAGAGAAAGAGGAAATTGCTGCAGATGAAGTGTTACAAAAGCCAGTTAAGGAACCTACCAAAAGGGAGATAACCTCACCACCTGAGGAAGAGGAGAAGACTTCACAACCCGAGGAAGAGGAAAAAACCTCACCACCTGAGGAAGAGGAGAAGACCTCACCACCTGAAGAAGAAGAAGAGGCTCCAGTTGTAGAAACAAGGTTTCCTGCTGCTCACCCGACTCCGAAACGCAACTCCACAAGAAGAGGTAAACAGCCTGAGGAAGAAGAGAAGGTGGAGGAGCCAGAGGAGGAAGAGGCAGCTAAGGAAGAAGAGGCACCAGTAGTGGAAGCAATAACTGAGAAAGAGGAAAAAGTGGAGGAAGAGAAGAAAGAGGTGGAAGCAGAAGAAGAAACGGTAGAGAAACTAGCAGAGGTAACTGAAGAGGCAGAAAAAGTGGAGGGGGAAGCAACAGCAGTGGAGAATGTAGCAGATGAAGCAGTAGAAAAACCAGATGAGGAAGAAGAGAAGACTTCACCACCTGAGGAGGAGGAAGAGGAGGCTTCAGTTGTAGAAACAAGAGTCCTGAGAAGAGGAAGAAAAAGTGTTCCAGTTACTCCACCAAAACGCAAGTCCACACGAAAAGGCAAACAACCCGAGGAAGAGGTGAAAGTGGAGGCGCCAGATGAGGAAGAGGCAGCTGAGGAAGAAGAGGCACCAGTAGTTTTGAGGAAAGGAAGAAAATCTGCCCCTGCCAAACCTAGATGCAAATCCAAACGAGGCCGAAAACAACCTGAGGAAGAGGAACCTGTGCTGGATTCTGTGGAGAAAAGGGTAGAGAGAGAAAAACCAGTGGAGGAAACAGCAGCAATAGAGGAGGAAGAAAACGTGGAGGAAGAAAAAACAGTGGAGAAGGAAAAGGCAGAGGAGGAAGCAGCTGTAATAGTGGAAGAAGAAATGCTGGCTGAAGAGGAAACTGAAACTGAACCAGTGGGAGAGGAGAGTGTTGCAGAAGAAAAGGTGGAGGAGGAAGCAACACCTGAGGAAGAGGAAAAGGTGGAGGAAGAGAAGGAAGCGGAGATAGTTGAAGAAGAAAAAATGGAGGAAGCTGAAGCTGCAGTTTCAGCTGAAACTATTACTGTGGAAGAAAAGGTGGAGGAGGAAGCAAAAACCATAGAGGAAGAAAAGGAGGAGGAAGAAAAAATTGAGGGAGAGATGGAGGAAACTGAAGCTGCAGCTGAACCGGAATCAGCGGAAGAGGAGAGTGTTGCAGAAGAAAAGGTGGAGGAGGTAGCAACAACTGAGGAAGAGGAAAAGGTGGAGGAAGTGAAGGAAACGGAGATAGTGGAAGAAGAAAAAATGGAGGAAGCTGAAGCTGCAGTTTCAGCTGAAACTATTACTGTGGGAGAAAAGGTGGAGGAGGAAGAAAAAACCATAGAGGAAGAAAAGGAGGAGGAAGCAACAATTGAGGAAGAGGAAAAAGTGGACGAAGAGAAGAAAGAGGAAACAGTTATTGAAATAGCTATAGAAAAACTAGCAGAGGAAGCTGCTATGGTAGAAGAGGGAGAAAGAGTGGAGGAGAAAGAAGAGGCAAGAGTAGTGGAATGTGTTGCAGATGAAGTGGTAGAAAAGCCAGTTGAGGAAGAGAAGAACACTTCACCACCTGAGGAAGAGGAGAAGACCGCACCCCCTGAGGAGGAAGAGGAAGCTCCAGTTGTAGAAACAAGAGTCCTGAGAAGAGGAAGAAAAAGTTTTCCAGTTACTCCACCAAAACGCAAGTACACACGAAAAGGCAAACAACCCGAGGAAGAGGTGAAAATGGAGGCGCCAGATGAGGAAGAGGCAGCTGAGGATGAAGAGGCACCAGTAGTGGAAGCCAGAGTTTTGAGGAAAGGAAGAAAATCTGCCCCTGCCAAACCTAGATGCAAATCCAAACGAGGCCGCAAACAACCTGAGGAAGAGGAGGAAGAGGTGGTGGAGGAGGAGGAAAAGGTAGAGGAGGTGGCTGAACCTGTGCTGGATTCTGTCGAGAAAAGAGTGGAAAGAGAAAAAGCAGTGGAGGAAACAGCAGCAATAGAGGAGGAAGAAAACGTGGAGGAAGAAAAAACAGTGGAGAAGGAAAAGGCAGAGGAGGAAGCAGCTGTAATAGTGGAAGAAGAAATGATGGCTGAAGAGGAAACTGAAACTGCAGCTGAAACTGCACCAGTGGGAGAGGAGAGTGTTGCGGAAGAAAAGGTGGAGGAGGAAGCAACACCTGAGGAAGACGAAAAGTTGGAGGAAGAGAAGGAAGCTGAGATAGTGGAAGAAGAAAACATTAAGGAAGCTGAAGCTGCAGTTTCAGCTGAAACTATTACTGTGGAAGAAAAGGTGGAGGAGGAAGCAAAAACCATAGAGGAAGAAAAAGAGGAGGAAGCAACAATTGAGGAAGAGGAAAAAGTGGACGAAGAGAAGAAAGAGGAAACAGTTATTGAAATAGCTATAGAAAAAGTAGCAGAGGAAGCTGCTATGGTAGATAAGGCAGAAAAATTGGAGGAGAACGAAGAGGCAAGAGTAGTGGAATGTGTTGCAGATGAAGTGGTAGAAAAGCCAGTTGAGGAAGAGAAAAAGACTTCACCACCTGAGGAAGAGGAGAACACCTCACCAACTGACAAAGAGGAGAAGACCTCACCACCTGAAAAAGAAGAAGAAGAAGAAGAAGAAGAAGAGGCTCCAGTTGTAGAAACAAGAGTCCTTAGGAGAGGAATAAAAAGGGTTCCTGCTGCTCCGACTCCAAAACGCAAGTCCACAAGAAGAAGTAAACAGCCTGAGGAAGAGGAGAAGGTGGAGGAGCCAGAGGAGGAAGAGGAAGCTGAGGAAGAAAAGGCACCATTAGTGGAAGCCAGAGTTCTGAGGGTAGGAAGAAAATCAGCCCCTGCTCCTGCAACACCCAGACGCAAATCCACACGAGCTCGCAAAGAACCTGAGGGAGAGGTGGTGGAGGCGGCTGAACCTGTGGAAGAAGTGGTGGAAGAAAATAAAGCTGTGGAGGAGGAAAAAGGGGTGGAAGAAAAGGAAGAGGAAGCTGAAGCTGCATCAGTGGAAGAGGAGAGTGATGCAGAAGAAGAAGTGGAAGAAGAAAAAGCAGTGGAAGAGGAAGGAACAAAT